TTTTTTTTTCTACAGCTGTTTAGGGCCCTTCTGGAGAGACTGGTTGAAGCAGTCTCACTAAAGGGCTGCAGCACCTGCAGCCAATACATGGCTACATAGTCAAGGCCTGTCTTTTTTTCCCCCCTAAACAGTGTTTGACCAAAAGAATTCCACAGAATCCTAAATATCAACACATAAAATCTCGCCTTGACACAGGTAAGTGAACATATCGCCTTGTGTAAGAATCCGCTAATCAGATGTCAAACTATACCAGCATACGTTATGTTACATCTCTAACTGCATGTGTTCAGCCAGCTATTTAAAATTTGCAATGAAATAACTTCAAATCTGTGGTCATAATTGGAGCCTCTCAACTGACTGTCATTGATGTCAGACTCCTGATGTAACAATGCTCAGTAAAATTCATGGGCCTGACTTTTCTAGTCTATCCTTTTTATAGAAGCTTTTGTTTTACCCATGATTTGAAATTAAAGCTAGTGTTTTAAAGGCCTCTGTTAGATTTCCCCCTTCCATTTCCCCATCTTTTTCCTTGCTAACACAGAATTATTTTTTGTGCATTTCATGTGACTCATCTGATGATTTTTTAAATGTCTTAAGTAATGATGCATCCACCACTTTCCCTTGTAAATTATCTAATAGGTGCCTGTTTTCCTGATTATACAACCTAAATTTTTGCTACTTCATTTTCATTCCACTATAACTAGTTATGCCTCATTGGATCATCCTAAGTTATTTTCTTGCCTTGTTTTTTCACCATTTGAATACGTGTAGATATGTCCTGTTACCCTCTCCTCTATCTTAGCTGTCATTTAATAGCCAGACTCTACCTATTGTCTGATGGTTCTTTAAAACTCTTGAGTTGTAGTCATAACACTAGTGTACATATGTGGTCTAGTTCAAACCGGCTTTATTTTGGGAAAGTTCTATGTATGGCATGTGTTAGAAGTTGCAGGTCAGACTAGATCACAGTCATCCCTTCTAAAGTAAATGCACAACTGGGGGGAGGGAGAGCAGGCGGGATGAGTTACCATGTGACTGACTATAGAAGTTATGATCATATATAATCTTTAGCTATTTATGTCCTCAAATTGCTGTCCAAACACTGATCATCATAACTCTCCCTGTGTGGTAGGTGAGCAAATATTTCCATTTTATGTTTGGGGGAAACTGAGGCACGGAGCACTTAAGTCACTTGCCCAAGATGTCACGGTGAATCAGAGAAGCAGAGCTTGGCCTAAAACCTAGATCTCCTGATTCCTGGCCCTGTGTTTCAGCTTTTCATTTTCCTCTTCATAAGAACATAAAAATGGCCATACTGGGTCAGACCAATAGTCCATCTAGCCCAGTATCCTGTTTTCTGATAGTGGCAAATGCCAGATGCTTCAAAGGGAATGAACAGAACAGGGCAGTCATGATGGAGAACAGGGCAGACATGAAGTGATCCATCCCCTGTCATCCAGTCCCAGCATCTGGCATTCAGAGGCTTAGTGTCTCCCAGAACATGGGGTTGCATCCCTGACCATCTTGGCTAATAGCCATTGATGGAACTGTCCTCCTTCTCTAGATTCTTAAGAATCTAACCTTGGTCCTTTTATCTTTTCCCATTATGAAATGTTATTGGACGCTGCTTCTAGGGCAGATACTCCCAAATGCATCTCCCTCAAATGAGTATAATATGCTAGAAATTATTAAATTATCACAATGTAAGAAACAAAACAAAAGGCAGGTAAAGAATTAACTAAATGCTAGGCTAAGGGGATGGGTCTTCAATTTCTTCAGATTTTCCTGTGTTAAAAGGACCCAAATTTCACACAGTCACTTCTTGACCACACAATGTTTCCAGTTAACAAATGCGTCAAAGACTGAACTCTTTGACTTGGGTTTGAGTGCCCTTTTTATCGACCTTTTCAGCCCATCTCAGACCTTGTCTTGGGAGCAAATCTAAAAATCTAACCTCATCTCCCAATTCTTTTCCTCCACCAACTCATCTCTATTGTTTCAAATCCCACATCAGAACCTCCAGGATACTTCCAGAATTAGGACTTGTCTACACTGGCGCTTTACAGCGCTGCAACTTTCTCACTCAGGGGTGTGAAAAAACACCCACCCCCACTCCCCCACCAGCGCAGCAAGTTTCAGCGCTGTAAAGCGCCAGTGTAGACAGTGCACCAACGCTGGGAGGAACGCCCCTCGTGGAGGTGGGTTTTTTAAGAGCGCTGGGAGAGCTCTACACGACTACGCAAGCCATGTTAAAGTGCTTCCAATGTAAACTAGCCCTTAGTCTTCTTCTTGAGCCTCTTTTCACCTAAATCCCTATTTGTATCTTAATTGCTTTCTTATCTTAACTGTTGCAAATGCCCTGTTAATATTCTTCCTTTCACTCCTCTAAGGGATCTAGAATGCAGCAGCCAGGTTACACTGGAAACAGGACTATATTGCTTAACTTTCAGTGGCTCCCTGTCCATCTCAGGATATGTCTACACTAGAAATGCTAAGTGCTGCTGTAGCACTGTAGTATAGATGCTCTCTACAGCAAAGGAAGGGGTTCTTCTGTCGCTGTAGTAAATCCACCTCTCTGAGAGGCAGTAGCTAGGTCGATGGATGAATTCTTCCATTGACCTAGCGATTCCTACTCCATGGTTTTGGTTGGCTTAATTACATGGCACAGGGCATGAAATTTTTCAGAGGCCTGAGCAATGTAGTTAAGTCAACCTAACTTTGTAGTGTAGACCAGCCCTCAGGTTATGGCTCTGTCTACACTACAGTGGCACAGCTCTGGCACCATAGTGTAGACACTTTTGCTATGGCGACGGAAACGGTTTTCCATTGCTATAGTTAATCCACCTCCTCAAGAGGCAGTTGCTGTCTTCCATGGACCTAGTGGTGTCTACACTCAGGCTTAGGTCAACTTAACTACATCTCTCGGGGGTGTGAATTTTTCACACCCCAAGCAATGTACCTGGTTCGACCTACGTTTCAGGTGGAATGAAATTAAAAAATATTCTCCTGGTAGAGATCAGCCTTGCTCCATCTGACATAATATAAACTGTGACTGTATCTGAGGAGCTCCAGACACTTAAGATATTGATTATAAACTATGTAGGTTATGGTAGTGCTTAACACACCTTGAATACTGAAAGACAAAGTTCCTGCCCAAGAAACCTTAGACTCTAAATTGAGACATGAAACCTCTAAGCTTCAATCCCTCTGTGAGGTAGGGGTAAGTAGTATTGGGGAAAATTCTGATTCATTAATTGGTGTAAATCAGGAGTAACTCTGGAAGTCAAGGAAGGTACACTGCATTTACACTGGGGTAACAGAGCAGAATCTTTCCCAGTAATACTTACCCCTATGTCACAGAGTAATGAGAGAAAACGGCTTAAAAGTAGGGGTCAGAGCCAGGAATAGAACCCCAAAATTGTGACTCCCAGTCCCCTCCTCTAATCACATGGTAGATGTCCCAAATAACATCCTTTGTAAAGATCACTTCTCCATTCTGCAGAGTATTGCCAAAACCACATGTGCTTTTAATTGGCAGGGGAATTCTGGGTGGAACCAGTAGACTACAAACAAGCCCTCTCAGCACTTTTAAGCGTGCTGCTGTTTTGGTTGGCAGACTGTCGATGCCTTTGTATCACTTTACTGCAAATCCTGCTAATAAATTAAGTGGAATGCTCACTGGCTTACTGCATTGCAGTTAAACACATCTTTTAAAAATAAGGTTGTGCAAAACAATTTGGATTCCTGCTAGCCACTGATCCTCCCAAAGACATCCTCTCCCAAGTATTTACAGGCTTGGACCTACTGAGCACTGCCCATTCCATGGATGCTTGCCTGAGTCAGTTCAGCCCATTTTCTGTCTGACCTGGCTGTTCAGTTAGACCCCTCATCATGAGCGATGGTTATTAAGAGGAGAAACTCCTTCCTTGTTCCTTTTTGGTATTGGGTGGACTCATCATGGTAAGGGAGGAGCTGGTGCAAGCCTTGCTTCTCCCAGAGTTGCTAGGCTGCTAGAATCCAGTCTTCTCCCTTTATAAGTGTTTAAGCATTCATGTTCTGAAAACTCGTATTATAAAAACAATCTGTTACAAAGTGCTTGTTCTCTGTTGTAGGAAACAGCCTGACCAAATACATTGAGAAATTGGAAGAGATCAAGAGAAGTGAGTAACGTATGGGGAGCGGAGATTAACTCAAGGGGTTTGTTGAAAGCTGCACAGTGAATCCTGGCCCCTTCATTTTGGAAGCGAGTGGTGTAATCTGCTCTTGGGACCTGTGCCCAAATCCCTTTAACTATAAATAGGCGCTGTGAGCATTCAGAGGGTGCGGTGCAGAGATAGCGTACCGTAATCTCTTTTAGATATCTACCCTGTTTCTGCATCAAGCAATGTGATCATCAAAATCCTTTACAGTTAGGCTTTTAAATAAAGCACCAGAGCAGAGAGTTCTGGGAGCTCATCCAGAAACAGTAAGTTGCCTGGTGCACATCGTATTACTGAGGACAAATGAGGACAGATTGTGGGAGGGAGGGACCAAGTACAAAGAATTCTGCAGATGGAAAAGACCAGTTCAGGACTGACTTGGTGATGAGGGATCTTGGTAGTCCAATACTGTTCCTGTGGTGCTATAGACAGCTATCTACATTTATTCCTAAAGCCACCCTGGTCAGACTTAGAAGGACGTGTGTTATTTATGCCCAAACTACTGTTTTTAGGCTGTATGTTGGCTTGCTCTCGCTTCTCCCAAAATCTTGGAAATTGTCTTTTCTTCTTCTCCCTCAAACCATAATAATTCCTTCTCTCTTCTTCTTCTCCTGCCCTTGCTTTTCTGGATTATCTGTACACGGCCACTAGAAGGTGACATCACACACACTTGGATAGGTCTGCCAATGACTTTCTATCCGGTAAAGGCAATGTTAGGGATGATAGACAAACTGTTCCCCAGGAGTGGTATAATGCAATTGTATTAACCATAGTCAACCTAAGCCGATTGTAAATGGCATAACTAAAAGACCTCCCTCTACAGCAGGGGCTCTCAAACTTTTTTACTAATGACCCCTTTCACATAGCAAGCCTCTGAGTGCGACACCCCCCCCTTATAAATTAAAAACACTTCTTAATATATTTAATACCATTATAAATGCTGGAGGCAAATCGGGGTTTGGGGTGGAGGTTGGCAGCTCGCGACCCCCCATGTAATAACCTTGCGACCCCCTGAGGGGTCCCAACCCCCAGTTTGAGAACCTGCTCTACAGGAACTATCTATAATATCTTTAGAGTTAAATGGCTTTTGTTTCTACTTCAGCTGGTCGTGTGCTTGAACTTGAGGCCTTGTTTCTGATCTAGTTAGACTTTTAACAGGACACTTTGTTAAAATGTAAACGAGCCGTGTTCATCCCTGTGTAATCCCACTGAAGTCAGTGGAGTTATTATGGGGTGAATTTGCCACAGCATATTTTAACTCTTTAGATTTTGAAGCTGATGAAACCCTAACTACTCCTCACCACTTAGTGTCTTTCTGTTGCATTTCACTCAGTTTTGCCAGTGAAACTAGACTAGTCACTGTCACTTTCTATTTCTAGTCAGTTTTGCTTTCTTGTTCTCAATCTCCAGCACTGCTGTTAATGCATGGGAAGGCAGGAAGATTATTTAAATCCAAATAACCCTGCTTTTATTGAGAGGTGAAAGAAAAAGTCACAAAACGCTAAGGTCATTAGGATTTTGTATGCCCATTTTCAGGGTTTTTTAAAACTGTTTTATGCTGTTCCTTTAACATCATAAAGTTCAAATTACAAGGGAGATCACATATCTGAAATACAAAAGTGTTTGTAGCTGAGTTGGTAAAAAAATGTTCTTTCACTTTTTGCTCCCTCTTCTTTGTTTTTAGTTGTGAGTCTCTTGGTAAAACGAAAAGGAAAATTATCTTGTTTCACGATATTCTTTGTTGATCAATTGACTAAGATTTCAGTGTATAAAAAGCAGTGGCAGTCCAGTGGTATCTGTACCACAAATCTTGTTGTGTTGCTGTCTTCAGTTTTAAACTGTGCTGTGAATCTAATTTCCTTTTGTGCTGAAGGCTTCTTGTTTAAATCCCAATTCTAGAGTACAGTAGCGGTTTTCTCATCGCATTTCTGCTGAATGGGCACCTTGTGTTCCTGGGCAATTTAGAAACTTTTTTCCCCTTGATTTCTCATGGATAGATGACACCAGTTGGACACAACATCAGATGCCTAGTACAGTCAATTCTCTGTCTCTTGTGTAACTTGAGAGAGTCAGACTCAATACTGTAAACCTGCTGGAAAATCAAAACTGATAAGATAGCTGAAACTCTGATTTTAGTCCTTTGAAGCAGAGACTTGAGAGAAGCTGCTGCAAGCTCTGATCCATTCTTAAATATATATTGCTTCACTCATTGCTGAAGCCCAGGGAAACAGGGCTTTGTAAATCTTCAGCAGGACAGTTACAGTTTAATACCAGATCCTTGATTCATAATGTCAGAAAATCCAAATGGATCTTCCGAGTCAGAGCCAGGTACGTAATGTTGATATTGCAACGAGAAGCAGCATTTTCCTGCGCTTTCTGCTGTTCAGTGTAAGTCCCCAACAAAATATTTGATATGATTTGCTCCAATTCAGATACAGATTTGGTAAAAGTGATAGTCCTCTGAGCTCATACTAACTGCAAGGGGGTAGAACTAAGTCGTAAAGATTTGTGACAGCTGCTTTTTTTGTAAATAAACCTGGTTTGAAGAAGATTAAACACCATCCAGTAGTTGCAATGTTTAATTATTAGTCATTAGGATACAAAAAATAAGGATCCGTTGACTTTTATACATAAGTCTTCAAAACCTTTTTCTTAAACTATAATTGGGCTTTATCTTCACTTCTTTCATCCAGAGAACTGAACTGAGGGAGGGGTTATCTCAGAGCCATGGCTGGGGATCTCAGCCTTGGGAGACAAGTGACATTGACTTTAGAGGGTTTGAGTTTTGTTGCATCAGGCAAGAGAAGCAAGCTGTTCAGAAGAAAGATGTTTCTGTTACTCGTGAGTCATATTGGTGTTTAGGACACTGGCTAATAAAAACGGAGGTGCAGGAGGTGGCTTAATGGTCTAAGCATAAGGCTTGAAACATCTAGTCTCTCTGGAACCACAATGGTCATCCCAGTCTTTCATATGTCCAAGTAGGGTGACCAGATGTCCTGATTTTTGGGTCTTTTTTATATATAGGCTCCTATTACCCCCGATTTTTCGCACTTGCTGTCTGGTCACCCTGTGTCCAAGGCGGCTCATTTCACAGGATTTAGCTTATGTGCAGATCTTTCATATGAAACTTTATAACCAAGGTTTTGAAGGCACGTTAATGGATCCCATGGTCACCTTTGTAAGAGGGTTTCAAGGTTTTACACCTGTATTTTTTTTCTGCTCTACTTTGGCACAGATGAATATGGGGCACTTAGCACCTAGTAATTACTCTCCATGTTTAACAGATCCCATGTAGGGCAGGATGCTGAATTTGTGGACTCTTCCTGCTCTATAGTGGAAATGGCTCAGGCAAATCTTCCCCAGGAAGTGTGTGTTTGAGCGTAAGCAAATAGCGAGGATAGAGAACGTTTGTTTCAAATTGTGTGTGCAAAAGCTGGTGGGGATGCTCATGGGGTCTGTTTTATGTGACTGTCAGGCTGAAAGGTGCCCTGGAGACTGAAGTATTCTTAGCCACAGGGCAATTATAGGCACTGGCAATGCAAGACTTCTCCCCACTCCCACTCCATATGTAGCCAGGACCTATGGATTGTGAGGGGAGTTCAGTCTCCATGGCCCACTTAGTCTTCTCAACTGAGAGGATGCCAACAAGAGAGCTGAGTAGTACTAAATCTGTTGGTGATCTTGTGGTGTCTGCTGGGATCTGGATTGAGACCCAGCAAACTCCTTCACATAAACCATGGAATAGTCCACAGATGGTAGCAATTTTAAGTCCCTAGCAGCCTGGATTTGATAAAGGGTCTGCATTCCATTATCAGTCCCCAGCTAGAGTGAGATTTCTGGGACATGTTCTTAAAATGATTAACGTTCTTCTGACGATCGTTCCCTGACCTGTGACTTTAGTGGGGAAGAAGTAAAGGAATGGAGGAATGATTGGACCTATTTTGGTTCAGCCCATAGAGTATGGAGGCGGGAAAGAAACATGGGTTTTGAGTGTTTAAAAAGTTGTGCGCACAATCTTTTGTAACAGTTGCAGGTCCTAGAGAAGGTAAAGCCTTATTAGGACATCTGGTGCATCCCCCCCTGCCAGTGCAGGGTTGTTCCTTACTGGACAGTCTCCAGTGCTCTGTCCTGTCTAGTTGTAAATGCCCCAAGGAATGAGGCTTCTACAGCTTCACTTGGGAGACTTTCACATCCTAACAGAGTCACATCAAGAAGTTCTTCCTGATATTCATCTTACATTTTCCTTTCTTATCTTTACCCCGCTACTCCTCTTGTACCGCACTAAATCATTTCTCCCCTCCTTTGTGTGGAGGCTTCTTTGTCCACTGTTCTATTGCCCCTCTTAGCCAGATGGTCTATATTTAGCTCTGTTAATCTTTCTTCATAAGTCAGTCCCTCTGATCACTTTTGTTGCTGTTTGAGAGCCTTCCTCGTCCTTTCGTACAATTAGTCCAATATCTTTCTGGTAACAAGGGTTCCAACCCTGAATGCGGTATCCCCATCAGAACTGTATAATGTTCACTTGTCTGTACTCTAGTGCCTCGCGAGAATCGCACCCCTCTGTAGATAGTCATACTGACATAACCAATGGGGTCCCAGATTTGACTTTTATTTAAAATAAAGTAGGGAAGACCTGAAGCCTTTTCACCAATCAGTTATAGTATGCAAATTATTACTTGTACACAGCAGTGTCTTAAACTTAGACCCATTCCCTAGCTCAGAATGCTTATGATTTAACTCTGCTATAAACAATGCATGGGATAAACATTTAGGTCGTAGGGACGTTGTCTGTAGCTTAAGAGGCTTTGCAGCAGCAATGGGTTTGAAACCGAACAGCAGGGGAGATTAGCACACCAAAGTTAATGGGGGACTTGTGGGGAAGGAGTCTGACTGGTGCAGTGTCCTTTCTTGTCATACCTGCCATAGGAATGCTGAATTTGTGAACTCTTCCTACTCTGGGGTAGTGGAAATAGCTCAAGCAAACCTCCCTCAAGAAATGTGTATTTAGAGTAAGTAGGGCAGGATCTGTCCTAGGTGTAAATTCTTTTGGACCTTCAGGTTTGTTCTGACCTTCCCATCAGTGACAGCAGCCTGTGTCACCCAGAAATTCTAGCCTCTTTATATAGGTTGGGTTGTGTGATAATGGCTCTCGCTAATTCTCATCATTTTGATGCTGTGAATGGATGTGGGAAAATACATACTTACTCTCTCTTTTTGTTAAAGATTACAGATACAAAAAAGATGAGCTATTCAAGAGGCTGAAAGTGACAACTTTTGCCCAGCTGGTACGTATGACTGTTTTCCAGCTGGCTTCTGAAAACTGCCCGCTTGTGATTAGGTTCTTGTTAGCCCCACTCTTGTATTGTGTCTAATGTTATTTTTGTTGCACTTGAAGCTTTTTCTGGAGAACAGGCTGTTGCCATTGTGCCCCTCTACACACTTGTTTTTTTTATATAAAGTAAATCACTTAGGCCATAACTTTTAGAGGTGCTGAGCACCCTTTGCTGCAACTGAAGTCAATGGAAACTCTGAGTTGTCAGCGCTTATATGGAGCTTCCGAATTAGGGAATGCTTTAGAACACTCAGTTCTGCCCATCTGTAAAATGGGTTTGTAATAATAATGCTCCCTTCGTAAGATGCTTAGAGATTCCCTAATGAATGGGGCTGTATAAAATATCATTTGCATGTGATCTGATAGTGGTTTAAACAAAGCAGTCACCGCATGTAATGCCCAGTTGAAATCATAACTCTAAAAGGCTGGAGGGTTGTTATGTTTAGAGGTTTTTGTGTGTTTCTGTGGAAAAATGCAACATACCAATGAAGCAAAATATTAAAAAATTAAACAAAGCATGATCAGAAAGTACAGAAGCCAGAGAGCGTGGGCCAAGGTAACTAGTAAAAACCTGGAAGGGAAGACTCCTTACCCTCCCCTTCCCAAAGCAGAACATAAATTTGCTTTGGTAGAGGCCCCCTCCTTCAACCATTATATATGATTAGTTCCACTGCCTTCATTAGGATTACATGTATGAGTAAGGCATGTAGGGTTGGCCCCTAATTTATGAATGTATTATATTATATTATATTTATATTAAATAAGGCATCTTGCACGGTTGCAGATTAATGCTATAACTCTTTCGCTAAGCTAGTGAGGGCTCTGCAATGTGTAGATCACAACTTAGAGGTAATGTTCTATAAATGTCAGAACACGCTATGATCTTTAAGGGATACTTCTATGGACTATCTGGGGTCTCTTCATTCTAAAGCCGAGTGGCTTTTTGTTTTAATTAAGATGTGAGACCTCTGTGTGACGTGGGGGCATGGAGTCCTATTCGAGACCTCAGCCCAGCAGAGGGGATGTCCTCACTCCCTGTGTTCTGATGCGCAGAATGCTCTGATTATTTGAAAAGCCAGTGCTGCTGCCCCCGCTCCAACAAGACCCTAGTACCGGGTTTATTATTGTTTCCTACAGGTCATCCAAGTTGCTTCGCTATCTGATGAAACATTAGAAGTGTCCGCTGAGGAGATCCAAAAGCTGGAAGGTACTGTCCTGATATTTATTGTAGGGATGATGAGACATGCTGGATCCCAGTGTTTGAACTTGAGCTGTGTCCTCTGATTGTGGAGTTCAGTGTCTTAGAAAACATCATGCTCGCAAACTCACTTGACAACTGGCTGAATTTTGTCTAACTGGAGAGAAAAACAGTTCCGTTTTTAGTCTGCAGCCGTTTTGCCTTGGGCTATGAGCTCATTAAGCTAAGCAGGTTTGGAGCTGGTCAGTTCTTGGATGGGAAACTTCCCACTATGGCACTCTTGGGAGTAATATTGATGACCCAGTACATGGCCCTTTTATTACTGAAGCAGGTATTGCTTTTTGGATAATACTTAGAAGGGAGGTCCTGAGCCATTAATGATCACATGGCCTCTTTTAGAAAGATTAGGGTGCTGGCCCTACTATTGTGATCATAATTCTCTGGTACAGAATGTGTTTGGCTGATGTTCCTGGTAGTTTCTATTGGATACATGCGTCTTTACACCCTTCCTTTCAAGCTTCCTTAAAAACAAAACAAAACACACAGCATCCACCCAACCCCCTGTTCTGTCTAGTGTTGCAGCCTGCCATAGGGGGCAGCATTTCAGTAGTGGGAGAAGGATCTTTATATCTACAGTAACTCCTCGCTTAACATTGTACTTATGTTCCTGAAAAATGCGACTTTAAGCAAAACCATGTTAAGCGAATCCAATTTCCCCATAAGAATTAATGTAAATAGGGGGAGTTAGGTTCCAGGGAAATTTTTTTCACCAGACAAAAAACTATATTATTATATAGAATCATAGAATATCAGGGTTGGAAGGGACCTCAGAAGGTCATCTAGTCCAACCCCCTGCTCAAAACAGGACCAATCCCCAGACAGATTTTTGCCCCAGATCCCTAAATGGTCCCCTCAAGGATTGAACTCACAACCCTGGGTTTAGCAGGCCGATGCTCAAACCACTGAGCTATCTGTTCCCCCCCCCCCGAATACTGTTCACAGCTATGATGATGGTGAAGCTTGGTTGAGGTGGTGAAGTTAGAGGGTGGGATATTTCTCAGGGAATGCCTTGCTGCTAAATGATGAACTAACACTCAGCTGAGCCCTCAAGGGTTAACACGTTGTTAATGTAGCCTCTCACACTCTACAAGGCAGCAGGAAGGGAGGGGAGGAGAGACAGCATAGCAGACAGAGACAGACACACACCTTGTGTGTGGGAGAGAGAGTGAGAGAGATGCACACTGCCCCTTTAAGTAAGCTGACCCACTCTTAAGTGCATTGTCTTTTTAAGTGGATCAGGAGGTTGAGACAGCAGCTGCTGCCCCAAGCTCTCTTTATCTCTCTCCTTCCGTGTCCCCACCCTGCTCTATATGGAGAAGGGGTAAGTGGGGTGTAGGAGCAGGGGGGAGGGGGACACTCTGACATTAGCCCCCTCCTTTCCCCCCCTGCACAGCAAGCAGGAGGCTCCTGGGAGCAGCTCCAAGGCAAAAGGCAGGAGCAGCACATGGCAGTGGGAGGAGGGACAGCTGAACTGCCCGGCAATCGATAGCTTGCTAGGCAGCTGCTGCACAGGGAACTTAGGGGAGCAGGGAGCTGATGGGGGGGCTGCCGGTCCACCCTGGTTACAAGCCCCCACCAGCTAGCTCCAACGGGCTGCTCTTCCTCCAAGCAGTGGACAAAGCAGGAGGCTGCCAAACGATGTTAGAAGGGAGCATTGGGCAACTTTAAACGAGCATGTTCCCTAATTGATCAGCAACGTAACAATGAAACAACGTTAACCGGGACAACTTTAAGTGAGGAGTTACTGTACTAGGAATGGGCCTGACTTATAAAATCCAGGTCTAGATGCAAAATTCTCCCAGTGTTCTGAGATATCTGGCTCCTGGTTTTGATTTGGCCCATTACAGAGATGGAATACTAACTGTAAAATTTAAACACAGGTCCAAACTTCTCCCAAGTTCAGCCATGCTGAGATCTGGGGTTTGGTTGAGGACCAGCGCCTAGATTTTGTTTGTTTGTTTTTAATGACGCTTCGGGATCCTCTGAGAGAGCACGGTGGCTTAAATGTAAGAGATTAATAACAAGCACCAAATCCTGCAGCACACATGCTTCCATGAATGGAATTTGGTCTTTGCGTTTACAAATATATGAGTCATTCATCCACAAGCAACTTACTTTTCCATTACCTTTTTGCCCTTTTAGATGGTGATACTGTTATTTCAGAGACTGATGCTGAGCTCACAGCTGGGACTAACGGGAAAGGAAGCCCCACGGAGAAGCCAGCCAGTCCAGTCCTGTTCATAAACAACACGGGAGCAGGGGAATCGTATCGGTCTACTCTGCAGAGGTACCTGATAGCAATGCACTGTATTCCTCCGGTTTCCCCACCAACTGTGGTACACTCCACCTGTCCCTTCCAAATGTCTCGTATAAGACGCCTCAGTCTTTCTAGTACTGTAGATGGCTGTTTTCATGAACCTGTTATCAATTAACAGCTAATCTCAGCAAGATCTCAAGTGACTCGGACACCATCTTTTGTCAGAAGCATCTGTTTGCAAATAATTCATTGTTGCACTTCTAGTCATTGCAAAATGTCCCCAGTAGCATATTAGGTTTGGAGTTAGAAATCCTAACGCCACAGGCTTGGGGTTGCAGTGGGAGGCAGAGCTTTTCAGGTTTGAATCCTGGCCTGAATGGTAGTGACTGGAAGCTGTTACCATCTGGCAGCTGTCCAGTGACCGACCTGAAATGAGATTGTGTGACTCAGTCCAAATCCTGCTGTTCAAGAATTTGCATCACAAACTGCCACCACCAAACTTTAAACTAATGTGTCCTTGTTGATGGTCTTAATGGAAGTGCTAGTGATTGGACCATGGAAATTGAGCTCTCTTCTTTTCTAGATGTGGTCCCTTCCAGGTCTGAGGCATATTAGAAAGAAGTAGGGGGGGAATCTTGTACCACCACTACCCATAGTTTGTCTGGGTTAATGGAGGATTTGATCTCCAAGGCTGTCAGGCTGGTACCTTGTGTATCTTGGCAATCAATCAACTTATCTCGTATAGAACCCAGTGGTATGATCACCATGTAGATCTTCACTCTTGAGCATCTCCTCTCCAGCTTAGTGATGGCATACACAATCTCTGCAACATGCTGCTTGCAGAGAATAGGCAAATAATTTACTGTGAACAGATTACCAACATCTCCATTTTGGTAACCTACTGAAGTACTAGAACTTTTAACCAATCTCCCCTTAGCAAATGATGCAGCACAATCTTTCAGAAAACCTTCTGTGAAAGGGGCCTTGCTCTGTTTCAGAGGTAGTGAGTACTCCCAGGCCAGCCACTGGGACTGTGGAGTGCAGAACCTCTGAAAATAAATATCCTAGATGTTTTTAAAGAAGAAATCGTAAGGAAAAATCAGAAAATCTGATCTCTAGCTGTTCACTTGACTCCTTTAAGTTTATTAATGAATTTTGAAGAAAGGTGGCAACATCCTTTTCAATAGTCTTATGTGGTAACTTGTTGTGTTTAGGTTGTGAATGGATCAGAAAGAAACTGAAACGTATCCTGATCTTAATACAGAGGAACAGAAGTGCTTAGAGAAGGAGATCTTGCATCATAATCTGCTTTCTTTCCTTTTGTAGTGTGATCAGTGGTGTAGGTGAGCTAGACATAGACAAAAGCCTGCGGAAGAAACCTGATGCTAATGGTAAAGACACTAACGCTAAAGACAAGCCTTACCCCGACTGCCCGTTCCTGCTGCTTGACGTACGAGATCGAGATGCGTATGACCAATGTCATATCGTTGGAGGTAAGGGAGGGGAACCCTGCAGGATTCTCTGAACCTGGATCAGTGTCAACTGCTTGCATAACTGCAAGTGTCAACTGTTCAACACTTCTTGCCCCAAAGATGGGCCCCAATGACTGCAGCAGAAGCACTGTTATTTCACTCTGTATTGTGGTGAGTCCCATGCACAGCCCTGCCTGGGTAACTGGTACCGCGAGTACAAACTACCTAGGCAAGGGAGAGTGAAGAGTGGCTGCCGATTGATTCACACTCAAAAACATGTAGCCTGTGTCCCCGACAGCTGAGCCCAGCCCTGACGCTGTCCTTTCGCAGCTGAAGGTGAGGTGGGCCTGTGGAGTGTGGGCTCCCATCTGTTGAGAGCCAAGATCAGGAGGCAATAATTGTGCCTCGCAATCTCCCATCTGGCTCCAGATTTTCAGATATTGGCATAGCCTGTCCCTGCAAAATGAAAATCGAGACAGCCTCAGTGTCTGTGATAAGAAAGCAAAAGAAACCAACATAAGCAGAAAAGGAAACTGGCAGGGTGGGGCATGAGGGGGGATGATGGATGGACTCCTTAGCTTGAGAGACCCCAAAGACATTGTCTCCACTATTTCTCCCAAGCAGCCACTCTTATATCTTCTTCTCTTCTCTTCCCAAAACACCTGGGCAGGTGAAGGGAGGAGCTGAGCTAAAATTAACCCTTTCTTCACTGCGAACTAGGCCTCTGTACTCTGACAGGTCCTAATCAGGTCACTTCATCTAGGCTGTTTGGTAGGTGTTCATTCCCTAACCCCTTTTTCTCTTGTATCTGCAGCTCACTCGTACCCTATCGCAACGCTGTCTAGAACCATGAACCCTTATACGAATAGCATTCTGGAATACGTATCCTTTTTAAAGCGTGGGTGCTCTAGATCGTCAGTGTTTTGGCAAAGGAACTCCATGACTTCTGCATTGACTGAACACAGAGCCGACTCTTGCTCCCAGTACATTCAATGGGAGTTTATCTGGGACTTCAGGGGGGGCACGATGGGGTCCTCCCATGCTGATGGTGATTTTCCTGATGTTAGGGTTCTGTGTTACAGCTGTAAGATGCAGGTGCGAAGCACCTGTCGTTTGCAAAGCCCATTGACTACAGTGGGAGCTGTGTGCACCCTCCAGCTCTCAGGATTAGACCATTTTGTGCTGATGTGTGGGCAAAGACTTGAACAGCTTGGATGGCTACCCGCTGCTGGTGTTGAGGTGTTGCACGCTTTGACTGAGGCATTAAACGGAGCTCCATTGGCTTCCCCACAGCAGGGGTTAGCCTTTCTCTGGAGAGTTTAGGATTAAGTGGGCAATATCCTAGGCTATTGACTTCCGTGCCCACAGGGGGAAGGGATGGCTGTGTGTAGACCTCACTCCTTACTGCCAACTTCTGTGTTTCTGCATTAACCAGCAGAAGGGTGGTGGCACAGGTCAGATTGGCAGGTACCTTGAGGATTTTCCCCTTCCTCTGCAGCATGGGGTATGGGTCAGTTGCTAGGATCATCTGGGTATCTCTCACTAAATCAATTCCCTGCCGTTGCAAGGGCATTGGTGCACCTCGGTCCCTCCTGTTCGCTGCCTGTGGCACACAATGGTTTAGTCTCCTGAGGGCTGTAATACTTTGGTCTGACTCTGGTGGTTGGTCTGAGTGTGGCAGAGGCTGGATGGCGTCGATGGCCTGTGATATACAGGAAGTCAGACTGGGTGATCTGGTGGTCCCTTCTGGCCTTAAATTCTGTTGGCTTGTTTACACTTGAAATGCTACAGTGTAGACCAGGGATCTCAAACTCAAATGACCACAAGAGCCACATGAGGACTAGTACATTGGCCCGAGGGCCGCATCACTGACACGCCCCCCGCTGCCACCGGCCCCGCCCCCACACCACCCCTTCCCTGCCCCCATTCCAACCCCTTCCCCAAATCCCTGCCCCTGATCCGCCTCCTCCCCTGAGCGTGCGGCTCCCTGCTCCTCCCCCCTCCCTCTTGGAAAGCGCTTTGGCGGTGGGAAGCGCCTGGAGGTAGGCAGAGGAGCCGGGACGCGGCGCGCTGGGGGGGGGAGGCGGCAGGTGAGGGGAGCTTTGCAGCTGCAGGAAATAACTCGAGGTGGACGGGGGGGGGGCGCAGGGAGCTTGGCGGGCTGCAGCAAATAACTCTGCAGGCCGTGTTTGAGACCCCTGGTGTAGATGCTACCTACACAGACGGGAGGGGTTCTCCCATTGGCATAGGTAATCCAGCTCCCCAAGAGGTTGTCTTAACTACGTTGCCCAGGAGTGTGGATTTTTCACACCCCTGAGCGGTGTAACTTTTTAGTGTAGACCAGGTCTATGACTCTAGGATTACTCTCAGGGCTTGAGCCCAATCATGAGAAAGTGCTTTTTGCCTTTCCTTGACTGAGTCCCATCCACTTGCAAAACTAGACTCAATGGGGGTGGGGGAAGCATTCTAGCTTGGTAATAGGCAGCTAGTTGAGAGTTCAAGCCCAAACCTTTTGGCTGCCTTCAAATCATAGAATATCAGGGTTGGAAGGGACCTCAGGAGGTCATCTAGTCCAACCCCCTGCTCAAAGCAGGACCAATCCCCAATTAAATCATCCCAGCCAGGGCTTTGTCAAGCAGGGCCTTAAAAACCTCTAAGGAAGGAGATTCCACTACCTCCCTAGGTAACCCATTCCAGTGCTTCACCACCCTCCTAGTGAAATAGTGTTTCCTAATATCCAACCTAGACCTCCCTCACTGTGACTTGAGACCATTGCTCCTTGTTCTGTCATCTGCCACCACTGAGAACAGCCGAGCTCCATCCTCTTTGGAACCCCCCTTCAGGTAGTTGAAGGCTGCTATCAAATCCCTCCTCACTCTTCTCTTTTGCAGACTAACTAACCCCAGTTCCCTCAGCCTCTCCTTGTAAGTCATGTGCCCCAGCCCCCTAATCATTTTTGTTGCCCTCCACTGGACTCTCTCCAATTTGTCCACATCCCTTCTGTAGTGGGGGGACCAAAACTGGACGCAGTACTCCAGATGTGGCCTCACGAGTGCCAAACAGAGGGGAATAATCACTTCCCTTGATCTTCTGGCAATGCTCCTACTAATGCAGCCCAATATGCCATTAGCCTTCTTGGTAACAAGGGCACACTGTTGACTCATATCCAGCTTCTCATTCACTGTAATCCCCAGGCTAATCATGTCAACTTGTCTCTGCCACTTATGTAGCATCAAGAAGATGACATCAGACATCAAATTCATGTTAAGTTTAATAAAAAATATACAGGATCTTTAACATCTCTGCCTATCAGAAAAATGCTCATGGGAAGATTATAATCCTGTATGATGATGATGAGAGACTAGCCAGCCAGGCTGCCACTACCATGTGTGAGAGAGGCTTTGAGAACTTATTCATGTTATCTGGAGGTGAGGGGGATTTCCTTTTGCATCATAAATGTGGGGACTTGGCTTAAACTTGAGAGTTGGGGGCGAGGCTTGCCTGAATTAAATGACTAGATGTAGGGCTAGAGCTAAATACATGGCTCTGCCTGTGTGTTACAGTCCTGGCCAACAAACCCACGGCTGTTCCAGTCTTGGGCCTCGCCTAGCTAGAGACTGCCATCCATTTGGCTTGGCTTTGGCAAGCGTCTCCTAGGCTTTGTCTGCATTGAGGATTTTAAAGAATTCTCTCACTCACTGGGAGTGCTAGACTGCAGTGTTCTTACCCCTGTGACATCCAACCCTGCTCAGACCAGGTCAAGAGGACGTGGAATCTTTAAAAAAAAAAAAAAAAAAAAAAACCAACCCGAATAGTTGGTCTATACCAAATGCTCCCACTTTTCTAGAGCTGGTGGAAGAAGGCCCTGCACATACTGCTGCTCCTGCCATTGCTAGCATCACTGGAGAGGCACTTGTGCTAAAGTAACCGTGGGAATGATCTCCTTGGTGTAAACAAGGGTAGGGGGGATAATATGTGATCATGCAACTTGTTTTCACTTGCCCTAAAATAGGTCATTCTTTAACCCAAGTCATCAGTGGTGAAAGGCTGGTTTCAAATCCATCCCACCACTGAGGCCCCACTTTGATTCCACGATTTATAGTATCAACACTATGGAAATAGCTTTTACCAAGAACAGCCTGAGACATCCAGCCTCTGTGTGTGCTAAGCAAATCTAAAGAGCCCATCACTTCAAGACCTAGGAATCCTGGCAGAGGTTGGCTCTCTTAGCTTCATTAACATTCCTTATATCAGTACCCTCCTGAAGAGCGAGTATGATAAGATGCTTTGCATTATACATTTTTATTCCCTAAATAAGCTGCAGTCTCCAAAGCCCTTTGGAGAGCCTGCATCTTGTAGCTGCTTCATGAGACTTGCTGCTCCCAAGAGCAAACTCTAGGAGCGAATCCTGCAATGTGCTGAACCTCCACAACTTCCATTGAAACCTGTGGCAGTCGAGGGAGCTCGGTACCGCTTGGAACATGACTCAAAATGCTCCAGCCGTTGAGAAGAATGACCTCTATATCGGTGTCTCCTGAGCATCACCCCAGAGTTCCAGAGCAGTACTATCAGTAGCTCTCCTCCTGTCACTTCTGATCAGGAGATGAAAGTTAAGTCAAGAGTCTGACCAATCACTGCAAATAACTGGTGATCACTAACCATATGATCTGTATTGTCTCCAGGCCTGAAGGTCCTTGCACAGAAGGTCCCTGAAGGACTGGTCACTGGCTCATTCCCAACGTCTTGCCAGTTGGCAACCTACACTGGATCTGCCCGGAAAAGGGCCACCCCAAGAGGGACACCCACACGTGCTGAGAATAAATGGAGATTTACTGCAGAAGATCTACAAAAGATAGAATACTACCTGGAAGAGGAGCAGATCCCCTCAGATACTGCCAGTAAGACCCCTTGACAAACAATGGGACTGCCCCCGAGGGCCTTGTGCCTGCAAAACTCCCATAGACTTCCCCTGCGCTGGCTACAGCACCATTTTATACCAGATCTCTGGGGAAAGGAAGTGCTTTTTCATACTGACCAGGGACTGTAGGCTAGAACCTGTGCCCTAATGTGCCATGCTGATCCCATTGTGGACAGGGGCTTTTCTGTGTGTATTCATAGAGCACCAAAACTCCCACTGAAGACAATGGAAGCTTTGCCTGAGTAAGGACTTCAGGATTTGTCCCATAGACTATTAAAAATAATCCAGGGGATTGGAAGGCATGTGCCACACTGCATAGTACCCATGAGGCCTTATGACAATTTCCTGGTTTTCCCACTTCATCAGGCCTTTCACTAAAAAACTGCTGTATCACTTCTCCTCCAGGTACTTGCTGCACTAGTGAAAGGCCTATGTGGTGTAGGTCTGTCACAGGGATGCTGGGGGCAGCAGATCAGCAGGGTATATATCTTTCAGATTGCTGTCTGTGCTCTGCAAGGAGCATCCCCAGCCCTCTCCCGAGTGTCGGAGAGGATTAAACCTTCCTAACAGCAGCCTGAGGGCAGTGATGAGGGGACACCGTGCAGGATTTAGCGGCCCCAGAATGGTGTGGGAGGGTTTGCTGGGGAAAGGTGAGGACCCGGGCACAGACTGTGTGGGTGGTAACAAGCATAGCCAGGGCAGTCATGCCCCACCATCACCTCAGACCCCCTGTGCAGAACTTTTTTTCATCCCTTCCCCCTCCCGAGTGCAGGTGTAACCCGACAGACCCTGGGCGTCGGCGGGCGGGATCGAACCTGGGACCTTGGGAGCTTAGTGCATAAGCCAAAATCCAACTGGCTGTTAGCTAAGGCTGTAGAGCAGACTCATTAATCTCTCTCTAAGCGATCTCGATGCCACTAGATGGGACAGAACACCACACCCAGTAGGTGTGTGGGTTACACAGGCAGGCTGCCTCGCCTTCATGCTGGCATTGGGCAGGCTTGGGGCTGTAGTGTGGTGTGATAGGTCCAGCTCTCTCAGTGCTGGGCCTGCATATTCCGCACACACAGCCTGCCTCTCAGGGTATGTCTACACGGCAATTAAAAACCCACAGCTGGCCTGTGCCAGCTGACTCGGGCTCTGGCTCCGGGGGCTGCTTAACTGCAGTGTAGACGCTGCAGCCTGAGCTCTGCAACCCTCCCCCTTCTCAGGGTCCTAGAGTCCGGGCTCCAGCTGAGCCCGAACATCTCCACTGCAGTTAAACAGCCCCGCGAGCCCAAGTCGGCTGGCACAGGCCAGCTGCGGGTGTCTGGACGTTCCCTCTGTGGCAGGCCGCTGGCTCTTTAGGGGCGCGTGAAAGGTCTGTTAGGTACCTGGGCTGTATCTTTGCCTGTCTGGACACAATTAAAAATGACAGGGCAGGTTGTATCTGTACCCCAGCATCTCCCATCAGCCCCAACCCGGCTATCGGCAGAGGAAAACAACAGATTGTCTGTTCAGCACAAAATCCCACGGGTTTCTGTTCTTCTTCCCCCAGGCCGTCTCAGCCGTGCTTCCTCAGGTCGAGATTCCAAGGCGACGGCTGTACGGAGCACCCAGAACCTCCCCACCGCCAGCCCGGCTGGCTCCCTCGCCACCCGCTCCTTCAGCAGCAGCACTCTCCAGAGCAAGCCCTGGAAGTAAAGACCGTGTCTCTTTCCGTTGAATAAAGGAATGTCCCGGTTCCGGGAACCCCTGATCAGTACATCCCGTTTGTCAATGATCTAACAATGGCAAGAGGGGTGGGGTGCGGCAGGCTGACATTCAGTAGAAGTAAAGGTAGAACTTTCCAAGACTGATCTAAAGGGTTAAAGTTGTTTTGTGAAAATGAACTTTTCCCCGAAGTCCCTGACCCACAGAAGTGGGTCCATGAAATCTATAACTTTAAAAAATGCCGGTGGAATCTGTGTTCTGAGAAAATTATTCCCCCTGGGTTTTGGGATCTTAGTAATGCAGCGCTATGCAAGCGCGTGAGAACCTGAAAGGTGGATAGACCAGCCGCTGTCTGTCAACAAAAGTCTTGATGTCTAGCTGAAATACAGAAACGGAGCGAACGAATAGCACAACTGGTGTCAAGTGAGCAAGATGCCAAAAACGCCTTTTTTAACCGTCCAAAGTGTTTGTAATAAGGGCATTCTTGTAAAGAATGTACAGAATGATGTTTCACCTGACAGTGGCCCTTTATCCACAGTACTGTTTACAACATATTTTTGCATTTGAAATCTTTTACCCCGTAGCATCCTGAGTACTTGGTCTCTGTTCTGTGTTCCAGGCTGTGGTGTAGTGCTCCGCTTCTGAGCGAAGCTACGTTACAATGTGTTTCTTGGTTTGTAAATGAGATTAGAAGGTAACTTTGGGCATGATGCTGAGATGGGCTAAGCAAAACACCGATTGACTTCGCTCACAGCAGGAGCCGACACATCCCGCTTCAATCTCTCCCAGTGAATTTCTGCTTGCAGAGCCAGGTTGCTGGTGACTGGAGTAGCAAAGAGAACCACAGAGTGACTCTGGGGGAATGTCCTGGTCCTTTGTGGTGATATTTTCCTCGTGACATTGCAGTGCTGAGTGAACTGATCACACAATGATCTGTTGTGAGGTCTTTGTCACAGCCCTTCAATGTCAAGCCTTCCTGTCATTGTCTGGTGACTCCCAGCCGTTCTTCTCAACATGGTGTTTTCTGCTTCCATCTTGATGGCTGGGCTTGAGGGAGAAGAGGGTGTTCCTCGATGCTTGGAAGGATCCTGGCTTCTCCAGCCAGTTTGGTCAGTGAGTTGCTTTCTGCTGAGTCGTGTGTCGGGGTGCTATGGGGTGCACGAGATGAACAACGCTCATTCGCTCTGCCTGAGACCAGACTCCCTCCTGGCATGTGGGTCTCTGAGTAGTGCACGCAGCTATTCTGAGATGCAAGCTGAAGATCGCTGGTCTAGACAGTCTGAAGGGCAGATGTTCATGAGCCTGCTTTCCACGATGCATATGGATCACCTTCAAATAAGGTTAAGGGGCAGAACTCAAACTTGCTCTGCTGAGCTCCTCTGATGGAGCTTGTGGCAGCAGGTCTTGGTCACTACAGTAGGGAGGGGCTCTGCACCTTAACTGACTAGTGGAGGCATGAAACTATTGCTGTGTATTGCACGACCGTCTCTCTGCAGCTGCCGTCAACATAACTTCCTTGTCGTTAGCAGGACTAGAAAAAACTGTCCCCGGTAGTCACAATGACAATCCAGCAAGGCTCCCTGGTGGGGGAGGCTGCCCAGAATTTTGGAGGCCATGAATCTGCTGACTTTCTGGGAGCCTGAGGATTTGAATATAATATGTATCAAAGCTTAAAATGCCTTGTAATCAAACACAAAGGCTCCCAAGCCAGCAGTATTGGCTTATGCTTGCAATTTCCTTGGTGGCTGGCTAGAAGTTGTTTGGAGCCCACTAGCAGTAGAAACCTAGTTGATGCGTTGTCTTCACCCTACATAGGCTGTGTTTTGGGGACTCGGGACAGCCACTTGCGGACCCTGCATTATGGGGGATGAGCTGCGATTTTGCTGGTGGGTTTAGATGGAGGGAAGAGGGTGTTAGTAGAGTGGGGTCAGCGCTCGTCTAACAGGCTGGTATGGACCCTTGACTATGTCAATTATAGGTAGCAGTTAAAGCCATGGAAGTAATTCTTTCAAGGCTCTTAATCTGAATCCTCATAGAAAGAGGGATTGCTTGCTTGGGTGACTTCCCAGTGGCCAGGGATTGGTGCTCTAATGCTGATCCTGCTTAGCGCTGTCAAAGCCTAGGGCCTGACCCTGCAATGTGCCGAGTGCCCTCAGTTCCCGTCAACTTCCGTGGGAACTGTGGATGCTCAGCAGCTGCTAGTGACCTTCAAAAGCCTAGCTGAAGAACACCTCTCTCTGGCGTTGTGCAGGATAAGCCCTGCCTGGATCTTATTCCTCCTCTGTAGCACTCTGCCATTGTATGTGTATCGCCAACAGCAGCATGTCTTTAAGTGGTGTAAAGGTTGGAAATAGATTCACTTCTTTTTCCTTCCTTGGAGAACCAGTGGGTGGCACTGGGACATGGAATGTATGCAAATGGCAGAGTCTCACCTTTCTGAGAGAGGCTTTGTTGTCCTGTAGCAGGCCAAAAAGTCCCTGCTTTCGTTTCCGCCTTTTAGCACTGACAGACCAATTTTTATTTAGTACATGCAATCAGGGTGCTGCATAAAGGCAAGTGCCACAAAAACTGCTGACAGCCCCGTGGATGCAGGATGTAAGCTGGACACCGGGATCTGGCTTCCTCCAGAGAAGGATGTGACCAAAGACTCTCGGAGGTGGTCTATGTGTGTACATGTGGTAGCCCTGAGCAGGAAAGCCGCCTTCTACACACAGCTCCCATGAATACAAACCATTCCCACACTCTGCGGGGATCAAATGTGCAAGGGGGCTCTGGATAGGACCTGCTGAGTGGGGCATTAATGGGTTTCAGATGCCAGCCAACACCTAACCCAGTATATCTTGCTCCAAGCACTTCTAAGACCCTATGCCACATTTGGCATTTTTATACATTTTAAAATATATGTATTTGTATAGGTAACAAACGCTGATCCCAATTCATAAATTACAGCTCCCCACTTCCCAAGGAAATCCAGGAAGTTCCATTTTAATTACTCAGAAAGAAAAGTTTGTACAAATCCTTGACTGTCCAAGGGTAGCACAATGCACTGGATTTCTACAGAGTTGACTTCTGTGTGTATCGGACAGTTGGGTTAATCAGATGGGTGGGATTTCAAGACCAGTTGAATTGGGACGGTGAATGTGAGGTACTATCTCTCCTTTCTGCCTAACCATAGGGAGCGATCTGCTCAGTAAGTCTTACACTCGTATTAACTGGTCTTACCTCTCGCATAGTCTGACTTACGTTATCAGGTTTCTGGTAAGAAAGGTTTTGTTGGTCTGTTTGTGAATTTATTTATGTTTAACGAACCAGCTAGGTGATGGCGTTTGCCAGCTCTGATAGGCTTGTCTTTTATTTACTGATCAGTGACATTGCGAGTCAACTGGAGAGCAAAGTATGGCTTGGTGGTTGGATCCCAGAACTGGGAGCCTGGGACTCCCAAATTCTCATTCTGGCTCTTACTCCTTGGGCAAGTCACTTAGCTGCTCTCTGCCTCAGTTTCCCTATCTGTAAAATGGGACTGATAATCCTTCCCTACCTCACAGAGGTGCTGCAGGGCTTTGTTATTTGATGTCTGTTTCAGGCTTTGAAAAGATTTTACTTGATATTAGGAAAGTGTCATAAAAATGTGAAGTATTTTATTAATTTTGAACATCCAGGCTAAAACTGACTCATGCTGGTTTGCATGTTAGCTTGATGGGCTGCATTCATCACTCCCCTCCAGGCGGTAAGAGTCTGACTTTTTCACGCTATCATGAAATAAAAGCTTGAGCTAAATGGCATCTCATACAGAATCCAATCAGCTTTTTGCTTAAGACAATAGACAATAATATTGTGCCCCTAAAAATTGCTGCATCTGGTCAATGTTGTTGAATGTTTAAAATAAGGCGTGGGGGGGGGGAATAAAGAGAATGTTTGTTAGTTACATGCTTAAAACACTGGGACCAATGCAACTTAAAAAGAACACATTTTATGTGTGAATACGAGGTATCTAAAGCGTGCACGCATTCAAAGGGATTGTTACACACACACACACACGTAAGATTGGAGGGGAGGGGAGGGATACAGTGTCTCAGTTGAAATCAAATAGCGATTGTGAGGCAAAGGATTTTTTATTATCCAGCTACAGTACTAGGATCTGAAATCCTCTATTGCCCTGGGCTACTAGGAAACTCTTTTCTGCATCAGAGGAAGAGTCCGAGCCAGTCAGGGTTGTTTAAGATCATCTTAATCCTGTGCATCGAAGGAAGAGCTGATGAACAGATCTTCTTATCCGCTTATTGTCTTTGAGGGTTCGTATGTTTTGCATCTTAGCTTAACTGTGTCATGTGATTAGGCGGGTGCTTTTGTTTTGTTTTCGGGCGGGGGGAGGGGGATGGAATAGATTTCTGTAGAGTTTTCTGGTTTTTAAATTGTTTGATTCAATAAAAAGCAAATGATGCAGCATGGCTGAGTATTGTTTTAATTGACGCTTTTTTTTTTTTTTTGGGCTAACAGAAAAATCAGTGTGGGGCAGTAACTGCAGAGCCAGGGTGTCAAAACGGGCCTTGGCCGGGGCTTTGCTCCAGCCCCACGGTGTAGCAGGGGAATTGATAGTGGGTGTGGAGAGAGGATGGTGCCAGAGACCGTCCTCTGTTTAGCATTTAAAAAAAACACAGCACAGGCACGATCAGTGCAAGCTTTGCCCACCCACGTGCCTCAGCCCTAAACGATAGCAACCTCTTTTTATGGGTGAGAGAGGGAGTTAATTCTCTGATATTTGTGAGATGTGGGCTTGCCCATTAAGAACTGAGCCCATCCGGTTTGCACCATGTGGGCTACCACACTTAATGCCTCTCGGCCTTTGCCAGCCTGCCCTGACTTTGAACCAGCAGAGTAGAGGATCTAGCCAGCTCTCGAGTCCGTTACAAAGCAGGGCTCCAGTCTTGCTCCCTTGAGACCCAATGGGACCAAGCTCAGTCCTTTACGTATGTTTTAGATGATGCATGGCTCATTGTAGATCAAAAACTATCACCTTTTTTTTTTTTTTAAGACTCCCGTCAGTCCATTGTTAGCCCCTGCATTGTCTCCCAGGACATTCTGTGGACCTCACTCTTCCTTGATACAACAGAGGATACTGCTAAGTGATTGGATTCCAACATAAGTTTCCAGCTGTCATAAAGTCACTTGGAAAACTGGACTGAAAAGAATTGTATCTTGGCATGATCAAGCTCACGTGAGTTGTGTGGAATGAACAATGGGCCTGTAACTCACTGTAGCTTGGTTTCTCTTTGCCAGTAGCACTTAAGAGTCCTAACATTACATGCCCAGTCACTAGAGACAGAAACGGCACAGCAAGGAGCGGAATTATTCCTTTTCCCCTGTGCCGTTGCACCCCATAAGGCTTTATAGAAATATGCTTATGAGTGTAAATATGACATAACTGGAATATGTTTTATGCTAGATATGCCATGTAACATATCTTTGCAAAGGTTATGATCTACTGAATATATTCTTCCTATTCGTATGCATGTATCATTTTTATATCTGAAGTTATGAGCATTGGTTCTATGCTTGTATTTTAAAGTGTTTGCTGTAGGAAGCACATAAGGCAGATTTGGTCAACATAGTGTGAAGGGGTTATTCAAGTAATTGGGAGGTACTTAACTAGCAATGGACTTTGGGAGACGCCAATCCACATCTGATTGGCTTTCGTGGGAACGTTCAAACTAACATGCAAACAATGGCGTCGGCCTGCAAAAAGCTGATTCATTCATAGACATGTGACTTGCCCAGGTGGCTACAGACATCTTGTTGCTGTGATTTTGCACAGCAGAACAAAGGGGTTTCCGCCCACAAGAGAGAGAATATAAAAGGCCCTGGAAACACCTCCATTTTGTCTTCAGCTGGCTCAGAAGATGGCCTTTCCACCCCAAAGAGATGCCTGAAAGAAACTGGAACAAAGGACAGTAACTACGGGGGGGTGAGTGATTGCTGGACCCAGAGTAGGAAGGAGTCTAGTCTGTGAAAGAAGCTTATTGGAACATCTCTGAGGGTGAGATTTACCTGCATTTAGTTTCCTACTGTATTAGGCTTAGACTTGCGTGTTTTTGTTTTATTTTGCTTGGTAATTTACTTTGTTCTGTCTGTTATTACTTGGAACCACTTAAATCCTACTTTTTATATTTAATAAAATCACTTTTTACTTATTAATTAACCCAGAGCAAGTAATTATAACCTGGGGGAGCAAACAGCTGTGCATATCTCTCTATCAGTGTTATAGAGGGCGAACAATTTATGAGTTTACCCTGTATAAGCTTTATACAGAGTAAAAAGGATTTATTTGGGGTTTGGATCCCATTGGGGACTGGGTGTCTGGGTGCTAGAGACAGGAGCACTTTTTAAGCTGTTTTCAGTTAAGTCTGCAGGTGTGGTTCAGACCTGGGTCTGTGTTTGTAGCAGGCTAGCGTGTCTGGCTCAACAAGACAGGGTACTGAAGTCCCACGCTGCCAGGGAAAACGGGCTCAGCGGTAGTCTCAGCACATCAAGTGGCAGTCCCAAGGGGGTTTCTGTGACCCAACCCGTCACATCCCCTCCATGGGCTTCCTAGAATAAGTCATCCCTGTTGCAGTTAAGGATGCAGCATTCTGCAGGATAGAGATGCGTTCAGTCTAAGGTATAAAATGGAGGGGAGATTTCCTGAGGAGGTGCAGGTGAAGGATGGGAGAAATGATAGCGAGGCTGTTCTAGAGGGACATTAAAGAACCTTCTTATCCATGGAAACAATAGAAGATCTGGCAGGGCAATTCCTGTGCTCTTAGGGGAAACGTGCCACCTGCTTTCTTGCCATGGATCTAAAACTATGTCAGCATTATGAGCTGTACTTGTGGAGGCCACCACATAAGGAAAACAAGGCAATTGCTTTGCTTTGGAGAGATTTTGGGGATGGACTTGAAGTGAATCCATTAAAGTTATCTAAACCAGGATGGAAAAATAACATACTAGTTGTTCATTCGATTTTTTTATTTAATTGTTTTGGGCTAGTTGAATCACTCACTGGATTCCTCCAGAGAAGTAAACTGAGCTCACAGTGTGTCCTGTTTTAATAGGGATGGTCCCGTGTGTACTCCATGATGGTCATCAGTGCCAGCCATGTCTCCTCGGCAGTAGGGATGATCTGGTTGGCAGGCAGTAAGAACCCGTAACGCCCTGTGTCCCGCAGTTCAAAAGTGAAGGAGTATTTAATGCCCTGGTTATAAGTCCAGTCAATGGTTCCACCACTAGCTTGATCTAGATTCAGGAAACACATCCAAAAGGAAACAAACGATGGCTAGCATTAGTAATGGGTGCAGAGAGAAGGGGCCAGTTATAAGGTCATTTAAATGTCACTGCTGAAAAATACAAGAAGCAAATTCATAGATTCATAGATTCTAGGACTGGAAGGGACCTCGAGAGGTCATCGAGTCCAGTCCCCTGCCCGCATTGTTGCATGGGTCCTTGGCTCTCACTCCATGAGAGTGTTTGGCTCTCAGTTACTTACACCAAATGAATAAAACAAGAGCTAGGGGCCTACATCACCCTCCGTCTACCAAACTTTGGGGAAGGAGGTTTAAACTTTGCTGCTGGTCCTTAGATGATCTAAAAAACCCACAGTGCAAGTTTTGTGAACAGCAGGATGGTTTTGATCTGAGCCTTGTGGCACAGGCATATCGCTCAAAGAATAAATTACAGAGGCTACAAAGAGTGGGGAAAGCCCAAGTTCCACTCGCCTCACTGACAAAGCACGTGGGTTTCTCCAGCCTGCATCCCTGGCTAGAACGTGGCATTTACAGTGGAGAAATCAGACTTCAAGCTTACCTAGGGATGTGGTAGATTTGATTTAGCGATGGAGAGATTGGATGTGTCCTTTTTTTCAAAGATGTGTTCTAGCTCAACCGAAAGATATGGGCTGGACACAGAAATCACTCCGGGCTTATCGACACTACTGCTTACCCCCCTGAGCAACACAAGTTACACCGACTTAAAGCTACATCGCACAATGTTGGTGGGAGAGCGTCTCCTGCCGATATAGCTTCCGCCTCTCATTGAGGTGGAGTAATTACGCCAACAGGAGTGCGCTCTCCCATCGACGTGGTGTGTCTTCACCACACGTGCTACATCGGCACAGCTGCATCGCCGATGTAGCGCGGTAGTAAAGACAAGCCCTACGTGAAATTCTAGCAGTGGCCTGTTTATGCAGGAGGTCAGACTAGATGACTACAATGGATGGTCCCTTCTGGCCTTCATCTATGAAACCTTCAAAGCTTTTTTTAGACTCTTACTGGAGTGGTCAAACAGAGGCGCCCTCACACATGCTGCACCATTGGCCAGATGCCTTATGAAGATCAGGTTGCCTTAATTTGAAGTACCACTTATTGCCCTCCGTTGAAGGCAAGATGCTGCGTCTGTGAGGTGGCTGTACCAACATACGGAGACTGCCTGAGTCATGACACCCATCATACTGCCACCGCATTAGCGTGTTCACACAGCACTGATTGAACCCCCAAAATCCTAACCCAGCATGCACTGGGCTCAGTGTGAAAACTAGGATGGACTAGGGCGGCATTTTTTTAAGTTGTTCTGACGTCCTGGTCAGGTATCTGATGGGGATGTCCTTGGACTTTACAGGGGCTTGAGGAACCAACGGTCTGATATTGAGTGACAACGTTCCTAGCAGCTGGACAGTGGGGACTGGCTTTCTGGCATGTCTGGCCTAGGAAAAGGCTCTCGCAGTGGTTGTACTTTCCTGTAGAGTGACTAAGCTGTCTGGTTCCTCCCCCACCTGCCATGGCTAAAGGGACCAGGTCATCCCCAGCAACTTACAGATGGTTGTGATGATGCTGCCGTATCTGTACTGAGTGCCATAGAGGGAAGACAGGGCAGCGACTGCAGCTTTAGCAATATTATCCTGGAGAAAAATGCAAAGGGGAGAAAAATGAGTTACACGATGGATGTGAGTGGTGTCTGTGCTCAGAGGGGGCGGGGGCAGGATGCCAGACTGGGGCAGGGGTGGTTGGCAGCTTGTTGCATCTTTCCAGGGGGAAGAGATGCAAAGGCTGGAAACATAAAGCAGAGCTGTGTTGGGAATATATAACTGACCAGGGCTGAGTGGATCTGTCCTGCAGAAGTCGCTCCTGCTTGCCCATCACCCCGGTATTATGGCATTGCAGGAGCTCCCCTTCTTTCCTCCAAGGACTCTCCCTATGTTTCCCTCCCTCCTGTGGGTACTGGGCACTTCTCCTTCTGCCCAATAGAGAAGACAGATTATGGCGCCGTTTGAACACTGAATTCAGGTTTGACTGACATTTCAGTGCTTATACCAGACAGACAATGTC